CCCCTGAAACGACGTAGTATGGGAGGGATACTATGTCGTTTCGAGTTCATTTGATTAAAATTAATCCTGGCCCTCTGTCTCCGGTTCATCTAATGGTTTTAAACATTTTCCCCAATTCGATTAAATCTGACCGAAATCCTTAGAGACAACCTAGTCCAAACCCTTTTTCTGTCTCTCGTCTCTCTCATTGAACCCTAGCGCCGCCTGAAGAATTCCGCCATTTTCACCGGCAAAACAACTCCAAATCCTCTCCAAACTTCGACCATATAAACCTCATTCATCCCTGATTCCTAAGCTACCCCCATATCCTTCCAGACCTTCACCAAATAGAGCCAATCTTTGATCTGAAAAGGAAAAGCAGAAGGCAAAGAAAATCATCTGAATTTTTCAAGTTTTGACAAGTGACTAAGAGTCGAAACTGGCCTTGCTCGTTTGTTCTTAACAAGAACACGTGATTGAGGCCAATTTCGGCTCAAAATCAAAAAAATATCAGAGTTCTTTCAAGACATGTTCGTTTGCTGTCTTCTATAGGTACCCTCGTTCTTTTATTTTTTCCGTTCTTTTGTTCTTCTCCCCGTCTTCATCTCCTTTTGTTTCATCTTTTCTTTTCTTTATTATTTTTTCGCTTTTGAATCAGTTTCTGTTTGCATGATTAGAATGAGAGCATGTTTAGTTGCGTTATTTTTAATTCTCATGTTTAGTTTTAATTAGTTCTTTTTCTTTTGTTTTAGTTTCATTTCAAAAGTTGTCTGATTTTGCAACCCCCTTTGGCCTGAATTTTGGGTGGGTTTATTTTAAATTATGAACTGGATTTGGGTTCTGTAAATCAGAAACCCAAAGAAAGGGGGTCAGTCCGGGTTTGGCAAAGTCGAGGTTTTGTTTATTGGGTCGATTTGACCCATATGGTCTTCTGAAGTAAAAACAGAGGATTTTAAGGGTAGTCTAGGGATTTTAAGTAAGAGAATCTCTTATAACTGATTTAGGAAATTTCCTGGAAGGTGGAAAAAGGACTGACCTAGCAAACAAGTTAGAATTTCAGGGTTTAGCTTGCAAAAACAAAAATTTAAAAAGGAGTAATAGGCAAAATCTAAACCATTTTCTACTGCCCTAAGAAACCTTTATAAAAGGCCTGTTACTTAATTCTCAAGTGAGATTTTGGAGAATTTAATACTAAACACTGAAAAACGGTCGAGTTTTAAAAACTTTGAAAGAACACTGAAATTCCCTGCATTTCTTTGGTCAAAATTGGTTTAATTCTGCCCTAAAACATCATAGTTAATCAGAGTTTTTGAAAACTCCAAAGATTGGTGTTCATATGGGTTCTATATTGGTTTGAAGAAATTGGTTTTGTTTGGTATTGCTGGGTTGTTAAGCTGGTTCTGCTGCTGCTGCTAACTCCTCGTTTCTCTTTGTTTTTCTATTGCATTCCAGGTACTTCTCGAACTATGGTTAACATATGAAGTGTAATATGTAAATGAAGACACATGATGAAAACCATGTGTGCTGCTGAATTCTTGTTTCCCTTTTTCTCCATTTTATTCATGTTTATAATAACTTAATTTTATGTGTACTCTATTAGCCTTTCTTATGTTATGGATGTGGTATCTTAGTATTAAATTGAAATTCAAGCTCTCTGAGTCTCTTGTTTAGTGTTTAGTTTTGTTTAAACTTGCTATGGATGAGGGAAAATGCTCCTGTTTGTTTGCAGTAGCAGTTAAGCTTATGTTGAATCATTTTGGTCTGTGTTTGAGTCTTATCTTAATTTGACTTGGTGTTTAGATTCAGGATTGTCCAATGTCAATTTCATAAGGTTCTGTTATTATGGTGTGTGTCGAGAAGGTTTAATTAAGGTTCTGAATTTCATACCATTGTTTTTTAAGCTAGTTTGGGATTAAATTAAGGTTGAATGGATGTACAGTTTTGTGTTGTTTATGTCATTAATGCAATTGAACTCAAACAATGTTTTTCTTTAAAAATGCAATATAGTTTAGTAGTGCCCAAGGCCTTTTAGCATGTTGCTGAGTATTGATGAAATTTAATTAGGCTCAAATGGTATTTTTGAGTTTAAACGTTGGCTGCTCTTCTTTGATTGGACTCGATCTTGAGTCCATGTTCTTCAGCATTTGCCTTTCATCAGATTTGGGTTCCCTTTGGGCCTAGACATTGAGGCACTGTGAAAAAATGGGAGCTCCAGGCCCTATTGTGCCTGGGCTTGCTCTTTCGAACCCACTTCTTCACTTAATTGCTGCTGAGGCCTTGTCCATAACAGGCTTGCTTCCAAAAGCTGAAAGCCCAACGTTCCTCTATTATTAACAGTCGTGCCAACAATAATTTCAAATTGAGTTTGTTTTAGAATAATTCTTTTATTTAAGTTGAGGTGTGCCATATTAAACAATACCAAGAGTTTATGGCCCTCATAATTTAAAAGCAAGAAATCATTCGAGCAATTAGATTTGAGGAGTCCCATATTAAGCAAGCAATAATCCATGGCCCTCAAAAGATTAGTTCAAACACCCTTTAAAATTAGACTTGAGGTGTGCCATAAGCAAAAAATTAGATAACCCATGACCCTCGGATAATTAATAATAACTCTTTTAAAATTGAGGCGTGCCATTATTAAATTTTCCATGGCCTTCGCAAACTTTGTTTTAAATTCAAAATTTCGTAGTTTGCTTTAGGCGCGTTGTTTAAATTAATTTCCTTTATTAATTAAATTTGGGTGTGCATTTCATATGACCCAATTTCAATTCTCAACAACGTTAAATAAAATGTGTCGTGGATCGCGGGTGAATTTCATGTGGTGTGGTTCAAGGCGTGTTTTAAATAACGTTGAATCTTCCTAAAAATAATTAAAAGCGGTTAATAAGTTAAAATGTACCATAGGTTAAAACGTGTAATAAATCAGATAATAGGACAATTATAATAGTTTAAGCGACCGTGCTAGAACCACGGAATCCGAGAATGCCTAACACCTTTTCCCGGGTTAATAGAATTCCTTACTTAGAATTTCTGGTTCGTAGACTTTTTAAAAATAAAGTCAAAATTTTCTCGATTTGGGATTTTAAAATAAACCGGTGACTTGGGACACCAAATAAACTATTCCAAGTGGAGACTCTGATAAAATAAATTAAATAATCCCATTTTGAATAATGTCACTTTAATTGGAAAAACTCCCTTATATTACCCTCTCGGGTGGTAAAAAGGAGGTGTGACATATACAATTCTGAATGGTTTAAATCAGGTCGTGCTTGAGTTCAACACATTAATGGGTGGTAGTCTCCCACTTGATTTCCTTGTATTGTAGACTGGCCTAGCATAGTCTCCCTATGATCGCCCATGCCTGGCTTTAACAATCTCAAGTCGATCTTCCACCAGTGGGAAATTTAAGTTGATCCTCTAGTTTCCAGCATCATTTACGGTTGTGTCGCCTACCAAATATGCATCCGTAAAAAAGTTGCCTCTTTGGCAGCTGCATGTCTCGCAACTGCATCGTGTTGACCTTGTTTCTTCTCACCTTGAGTAGAGGAATTATTCCATAGAAGATGAGGAGTTCATGACAGATAAATTCAAAGCACTAGAAAACATTACAACCAACTTTACCAAACTTCTGTATGAATCGATGATTGATTGATGAAAATTGATGAAACCTTGTGTCTTGAAGCCTCCAAAGCTCTCTTAATCCCCTTAGGTCAAAAATCCTATCATAAACGTGTTTTCCATGTATTTATACCGTGTAAGAATGACATTGGACTAAAATACCCTTAATGAAGTGATTTGCAAAATTTGACAACGAAAATGGCTTGCCGCATCGCGTGTCGCATCACCCTGTGCGACATGCCAAGAGGCTATTTCAGCCAACTTGATTTTTGTCCCCTTGATGCTAAATTCCCCTACATCGATGCCTGAGGCGATCCATGGTTCTTAGGCCAATTATCCAGCTTCTTAGTTTTTTTTTAAATTTTTCGTAATCATACTTGGTCCTCCCGAATTCGAACCCAATCTAATTTATTAGATTCTACTCAGACGTTGAAGCCAAATTATCTGTTTTAGCTCCAAAAATATTCCTTAGCTCAAAATTAAGTTCTACTCAATGAAATACGCGTAATAAATATCAAATACTCATATTCACACTCAAACACAACTACAGTGAAGTTAATAGAAGATGAAATTTCCAAAAAATCTTTATTTCTAACCTACCATCATGCCTTAGTTTCTTGAATGTTTTATATCACTAGTAACTTTTTCTCGCTATTTTTAGTAACATGACTTAATGATTAAGTATCGATAAGTAATGCCTAAATATAGTTCATTTATGTAGTTCTCTCTTCTTTTTAATAAATTAAAACAGAAGAAGTAATAACAATCACCTAAACTAAAGATATTAAGCCCAATAATTGGCTTCTAAGATCACTGATGACACACATTTACTTTAATCATAAGTTGTACAACGTAGGTACCTCTAAAATAACATGAAGAAAAATAAAAAAAACCTCTAGAATTACGGTACCTTTAACTAGAAATTGCTTTGACGAGACCATAATAAGCCATAAAGGGTGGAATAATAAATTACCAAAAAAAGGGTGTATTATTAATAGAATTAAGCTAGCATCGTAACCCTAAAGTATGAATTAGGTTGAAAACTTGAACTAAGTTAACCAGTATGGGAGTAGAGTATATATATGTTTGTGTTTCACATATTCAAGAGTGAATAATTATTGTTCAATTGAGTAACAGATATGCAAATATTAATTCGAATAGTACAATTAACCTCTTAGCTATTAAACTGTCCTTTTAAATACCGAATGTAGTATTCTTAAATTTAGAGATCTCATAATGACCTGTGAAAGAACTAAGTGGACTAGAGTGAAAGTAGAAGCAACCAATATGGACCAAAGATTCAAAATTACCTAACTATAGAGGACCAAAGCTGAAAGCCCAAAAACCGGAAACGACGTCGTTAGTTATGTCAACAGAAAGGGCAAAGAACTGAACTCACTAATAGAGTAATAGGTGAACAAAGATTGTATTCAATACCCTGAGCTGAGAGGACTCGGAAAACTTAGAAGAACATTTAGAGAAGATGGTGAAAGTTGCGACGTTCTTTGCAATGTCTTTAGGTGCCTTCGCTTTCTGGCAAACTATGGACAAAATCCATGTATGGATCGCTCTCCATCAGGATGAGAAGGTAATTTCCAAAACCCTAATTTTGTGTTTGTGCTTCCTTTGTTGAAATGAACCTCCCTAATCCTAATTGGGTTCTTTTCCTTTTGTGAGGAAATGAACTCAGAATTATATATGGTCTTTTTGGATTTTGGGCTTTTCTCGATCTGGATCGTAATTGGTTTCTTGAAGTCATAAATTAAGGATGCTGGTATTGTTGCTCTGAAATTTGTAAAAGTGCAGATTTTTCTGACATTCAGATGTATGGTATTTTTAGAGGATTTCATTAAATTATTGTTGGTGTTTTTGGAGAGGATACTCATAGTTTAGATGGTTAGTAGGACCAGTGTACCTAAGAAGGCCGGCCGCCTAAGAATGTTATCCTCTTCCTTCTAGGGGAACCTAGATAAAAACCTCAGGAATTTGGAGAATTAGTATATCTGAATGTTAAGCTGTTATCTTCTGCAAGCTATTGTAACATTAAACTTATCAGTCATTCCATGAAACTATGGGCAGAGTGATACACCAAGACTTAGCAATGCTACTGTAGTAACAATGGATCAGTTTGGAAGTGATTGATACCTAGTAGACCTACATCATAGGTCATATTCTTGCTAAGATGATTGATGAAAATTTATAGGGAGAGGAAGAATGATTGACACATGGAATTCATTGACCTAGAATTGTGCTCAAGCTGGCCTAAACACCACTATTATTTAAAGTGCTTTGGTGGGTGCTGAGGAAGAAAAGAATTCATATTTAATATATAAATGTTGTAAAGGATACGTTCTGTCACACGTGTGAGCATTGTGGCAGGAGGGATAAGAGAATTTCTCATACATATTTAATATATAAATGTTGTAAAGGATACGTTCTGTCACACGTGTGAGCATTGTGGTAGGAGGGATAAGAGAATTTCTCATAACCCGTGGTTTTCACTAGGGTGTTGGTGTGTGTTGTGTGATGACAATGTTATGTTAATTGACACAACTAGTGAGCTTGTTGCCCAAAAGTTTGAACTGTGGAGAAACAATTCAAGTTTGATGACGATGTTGTGTTAATCTGGAAAGAAAAGGTTTCAAGATAAGTAGAAGTAAGATAGGATATATGTAGCACAAGTTTTGGTCAATATAGACAAGTGAAATCGAGGTGAGATTATATGGGATTGTTTTGCCTAAATATGAATAATTTATATATATGGCCTCAATGCTCCACGAGAATTGTATGATAGATATGATGTGCGACATAGAATTAAGATAGGATGGTTGAAATAGAAAAGTGCTATTGGAGTATTATGCGATAAAAAAGATACTCATGGAGGTGAATGGCTAGTCCTATAAAATGGATACAGAGCCAACAAGAGCCAACAATGTTATATTGTAGTAGTCCTCTAAGATCCGACATATTCGTAAGACGAGTTACGCAAAAATTCAAATATTAAGATGGGTGTGCTATTATACAAGTTTAGAAATAATCACATTCAACAGGAGGTGCAAGTAGCACAAATAGAAGATAAAATGCGTGGTGGTCACTTGAGACCTTCGGAGGCACCGATCTATATGCATGAGACCATACACATCCATGCAAATTTATAAAAGATACAAAACAATGGAAGTAAAAGATCCATGTAAGTGATATAAACTAGATGAACATAAGACTTATTCTTGTTGGAACGCTCACATTAGTCCAATATTTGCTTGGTTCATCTTAATCTTGTTGAAGGATTTGTATGTCAATACAAAATGTAGAAAAACATATGGGACTCGTGAACCTTATTTATTACATATTGGAGTGAGAGGAGTCTAAATAGAGCGAAATGGATAGTGACGATTCATATAGATTATAGCCAATCCCAACTACGTCGGATTGAGCTTAATAGTTGTTTTTGTTGTTGTATAATAATAACCATGCATGACTCTTTAAATGCTTGTCGTCCTATAATTCTTTTTATTGGTTTCTTGAGCTTATCAATTTTACATATTTTAAGGATTCATGTTGTATTGTATCCCTGAATTTTTGGGAAGTGTAGAATTTCTAACGTTCAGATTATGGGTTCTTTAACTGAAAGTTTGGTAACTTTTACCTTATAAATAAAATTTTTGTGTTAATAATGAAATCAAATGCTAGAATGTCTTGAAGCACACCTGTGTTAATGCTCAATTCCTCTCTAAGTGTCTTGTTGGTGTCTTCAATGATACCTTTAATATAAGCCCCAATCCGGAAGTGATTCAAAAGTAGTTTATAAATAGGTGGAAAGTCACGGCAGGTCTCAAAGTTACTCAAATAAACCATAGCACGTTCCTACTTGATTTTCCCTCGAAGCAAGAGGCGCTTCGCATTAAAGCCGACGACTGGTTCTGGAACGGTAGACACCTCTCTCGATTGGTGGTCTCCAATGTCGGGTATGGACATGGCTATCAGAAAAGAAAAGCATACTTGGGTAAAAGCTTTTGGGATTCCACTTCACGCATGGTCTCAAGATTTTTTCACCATCATCGACGATCTTTGTGGTAGCTTTATAGTCATTAATGAAGATACAAAGAGAAGAATTCATCTGTTCTGGGCCCGAATCTGTGTCAGAAACATTGCCAACAATCTTCCTCGTATTCTAGAATTACCAGTGGGTGAATGGATGTATGAAATTTCGATAATAGCATATGCTCATGTCGCTCATGTCAAACTGAAGAAATCCGGCAATTGAACTTCGGCTCCGGTGATAGTTCTATTTCGATGGCAAAGGAAAAAGCTGTTATAGAGATGACTGATGGGTCAGACCCCTCGAGCCAACGGTAACTTATTCCAACCCCATAACCAGCACGTGGGGGGTCACGCGACTACTTTAAATTCAAATAAAGGGGTTGTAAAACAAGGTGAAAAATTCGTGGGCCTTTCAAAATTTTTGGGCCAGCACACAAAAAGATATCATGATGAACGAGACCCAAAAAAAATGGCATTATGATGAAGGAGGCCCAAAAAAGAAGAAAGGACATTTAAAGAGGAGTCGACCCAAAACTTATTAGAAAGGAAAAAGAGTTTTTGCCAGCCCAATGGATAATAAGGCCAAGGATTTATCTGAGGCCCCAATCTTAATTTAAGAGATTATTCCAGAACATCCCCATAGCTCTCTTATGCATGATGCTCTCCAAACTGCTATAGGAGACCCCAACTTGAGCTTAGATGCTGACGACGAGGCTGACCCTCCAACAAATTTCAGAATCATGTTTCACCAACCAAATTTGATGTCACAACCACTACAGGTTTTAGGATTATGAATTTGTTTTCTCCTCTTCATCACTTTCTGTACTACTCCCATGGCATGAGAAGCGGTCAACTTCAACAATGGTGCTCGAACTGGCAGTGATAGATACATCAAGGTGGACAAAGCTAGTAATGGTGAAGGCATGCAAGGCTTTTGGGGTGAATGTTGTAGGATTTGAACACGAGCTGTTTGACATCATCTTAAGAATGAGGAAAGAAGGCAGATTCAGCTAAAACACTCTAAAACTTATCAAATTTAGCTAAAAAACCCAGTAAGAAGAAGGGGAACCGAAATTAACAAGCTGAAATGTGGGATCAATTATGAAAGGTTGAACAAAAGAGATAGTGGGAGGCATTACAAGGCTTTTTCTGAATGAAGCTCAAAATTTTAAGCTGGAATGTGAATGGGTTGAATGATAGCAGTAAAAGGGGTATTCTTAGCTCATTGGTTCGCAAGTGGAAGATCAATATTCTTTGCTTACAAGAAACAAAAATGGAGGAATGGTCTGTTAATCTCTCCAGATAGATTTGTGGTACCAGAAGGGTTGATTGGGCAGAGCTTAAGTCATGTGGTATCAAAGGGGCATCATAATCCGTAGATAAAAGATATTGGAATTGTTTGGAGGTACACCAGGGAACTTTTTCTATTTTAAGCATATTGGAGAGCACAAAAGAAGACTTCAGATGGTGCTTTACAGGGATTTATGGTCCTCACACCAATGAGGAAAGAAAGGAAATGTGGAATGAATTGGCTGCATCAGGGGTATCTGGAGTGAGAATTGGGTGATAGGGGGAGACTTTATTGTTGGCTGATATGAAAATGAAAAGCACAACTGCATTAGAAGATCCAGAGCAACGAGGGGTTTCTCTGAAATCATTCAAGACTTGGGCATTATTGACTTACCTCTCCAAGGTGCCTTCTACACATGGTCTGGGATAAAGGGGGATAAGACATTTTTCAGCCATCTAGAATAGATAGATTTCTTATATCCCTAGAGTGGAATGAATGCTGTAAGGATGTGAAACAGATTGCCCTTCAAGGGTTTTTTCTGATCATTAACCTTTACTTCTGGAGAGTGGGGACTGGGAGGTGAATCCATCTTACTTCAAATTTAAGAACATGTGGTTAAAAGTAGATAGATTCATGGAGAATATTGAAGAGTGGTGGAATAGCTATGCCATACATGGGAGTCCAGACTATATTCTAATTCAAAAATTGAGACTATTGAAGAAAGACATTCTCGGCTGGAATAAGTAAGTCTTTGGCAATGTTGAGTCAAGAAAGAGCAAAGTTTTAGATGAACCTTTAGTGTTGGAACAAGTCACTGAGAATAGGGTTCAAGTTGAAGAGGAAAAAAACAAAATGTTAGCTTTAAAATTAGAGTTGGAGCAGATAGCAAAAGCTGAGGAGATATGATGGAGACAGAAGTCCAGGTGCCTATGGCTCAAAGAAGGAGATAGGAACACCAAATATTTTCAGTGGATTGTGAACTCCCGTAGAAGAAACAATTGCATTGACAGGCTTTTGGTTGATTATGAGATTATTGAAGATAAGGAGCAGATAAAAGGGGAAGTTTTGGATTTTTACCAACAATTATACACCAAGTCTAAACAATGGAGACCCACAACTAGTCTTGATGATCTGGAAAGAATACCAGAAGAAGACAAAGCATGGTTGGAAATTCCTTTTGAGGAGGAGGAGGTTCTTTCTACTATTAAAGCATGCTCTCCAGATAAAGCCCAGGCCAGATGGTTACAACAACATACCAGTATTATCCCACACAGTGGGATCTGGGGAAGGTAGTGTGTGCACAGACCTTAACCGTACCAATGCATTTTTCCAGGAAGCATGGTTGATCATTAAGGAAGAGGTGATGGCTGCCCTGAATTTCTTTCATCATAACTATCGTATGGTGAAGTCTTGCAATGCCTCTTTCATAGCCTTAGTTCCCAAAAAGAAAGAAGCCATAGAACTCGAGAACTATAGACCGCCTGATTGGTAGTGTTTACGAGATAGCGACCAAACTACTTGCAGAAAGGCTCAAGAAAGTGGTCGGTTGTCTAGTTTTTGGACATCAGAATGCCTTTATAGAAGGCAGACAAATTACTGATGCAACTTCATTGCAAATAAGGTATTAGACTGGCATTGCCTGGTGTTTTATGCAAGCTAGATGTGGAAAAGGCCTTTGATAAGGTGAGTTGGGCATATCTACTAATTGTGCTTAGGAAGATGGGCTTTGGAAACAGGTGGATTAAATAGATGAAGTTTTGCATTACCACATTTAAATTCTCAGTACTTGTCAACATAGGGTCAGTGAGATTCTTTTCCCCTCACAAGGGACTTGGACAGGGGGACCCTTTCTCTTCTTTCCTTTTTATTTAGGCCATGGAGGGCCTTTGCAAGATGTTGGACAAAGCCAAGAAGCTCTAGTGGATTAGTGGCTTTCAAGTGGGGCTTAACTCTGGACCATCTCTCTCGGTATCTCATTTGCTTTATTCAGATGATACTCTGATCTTCTGTGGGGCTGAAAGATCCCAAGTCCTATACCTTAACCTAACTTGAATCTGTTTGAAGCTATTTGTTTGCATATTAACATGGCAAAAAGCACTATCCACCCTGTAAATGAAGTCACCAATTTGGAGGAACTAGCTTGAATTCTATGTTGTGGTATTGCTACATTACCTTCTACATACCTTGGTCTACCTCTTGAAGCAAAACATAACTCAACTGAATGTGGAATAGAGTCATTGAGAAATTTGAAAAGAAGCTAGCTTCATTGCAAAGGCAGTATCTTTCTATTGGGGGTTTGGGGGGGGGGGGGGGGGGGGTGCTAGATGGTATCCCAACATACCTGATGTCCCTCATACCAATCCCCAACAAAATTGTAAAGCTGCTTGACAAGATCAGGAGAACATTTCTATGGGATGGAGACATCAAAGTTCATAAATTTCACCTAGCCAAGTGGTTAAAGGTCACCATGCCAAAGTATTTGGGTGGCCTAGGCATCAGAGATCTTTCCATCCACAACAAATGCATGCCGATGAAGTGGCTATGGAGATAAAATCAAGAGGAGAATTCACTATGGAAAGAGGTGGTAGGGCCAAGCATGGGTTCGAGAATCATTGGTGTACTAAGTTGTCCAGGAGTCCTTATGGGGTCGGCCATGGAAGAACATTAGGAAGCTCTTTCCCAGAACTTCTATTTTAAATTGGGCAATGGCAATCACATAAAGTTCTGGAAAGAAATGGTTTGAAGGACCCATCCTGATGTTTGACTTTCCTAGCCTCTATCGGATAGCTCAGAACCAAGATTCCACTATTTCTCAAAATTGGCAAGTCAATTGTTGGTACATTCTTTTCAGGAGGGATATGCAGAACTGGGAGCTTTCACAACTTCTAAATCTGCTGCACAATTGGAAGGCTTCTTAGTCAAGGAAAATACATTTGACAATATAAGATGGGGAAGTTCCAAGGATGGCCTTTACACTGTGAAAGCAGGCTACACTCACTTTTGCTCCGCCAATGAAATTATTGATAGATGGCTGTGGAAATACATCTGGAAGACCAAAGCTACCTACCAAAATTTCCTGTTTCGGTTGGATAGCCCTAAATGAAGCATGTCTAACCCAGACAATCTCAGCAGAAGAACTTTTCAATTGGCCAACAGATTTTACATATGTTTGCAGCGGCCAGAATCCAACATGCATCTCTTTCTTCACTGCCCAGTTGCAGCAGATATCTGGTGTATGTTCTTTGCCATCTTTGGCTTAAGCGGGCCATGTCTCAGAACATTAAGGATGCCTATGGAAGCTGGTCTTCATGGAAAGTTGATAACTCCATCAGTAAAGTCTGGCGGATGATCCCTTCCTATATTTTGTGGTTTGTTTGGACAGAAAAGAATTGCAGATGTTTTGATGGGATATCAACTCCTACATACGCACTTAAGGCTAGATGTTATGCTTATATAGTTGGCAGAACTTAGCTCCTGTCAATTGCCCTATTAATCTTTTGGACTTTGTTAGCTCCTTAGCTTTAGCCTAGTTTTTGTCTGTAGAGTTGACTATGTCTTTATGTATCTCTCCTTTGTACTTCTTGCATCTTCTTGACGCCTTTAATGCAATTCTCTTACTTCATCAAAAAAGAAAGGCATATCAAGTAATAGGCAGCCCATCCAAGTGTTATGGCCTCTCTTGCATCAGCTACTGATATTGAAACTGTACCAACCTGCACCTTCTTATACTTGAAAACTAGTAACTTTTCCAGTTGCATGATCAAAATACTCACAGGATGTCCCAACAAAAACCTTGTAACAATATCCAAATATCTGCTCTGTTGGCCTTTTTGTTTGAAGGAGTATCATGCTTACAAGCTCTCAGTAGAAGACCCATGTCTGTAGGCCAACCTCCATTTTGTTTTTGAGTCCTACGTGAAGCCGAGACTGTCAATTGTCATTTTCGTATGGCTGTCGGCAGAGATATTTATCCAAAAAAAAGTCATTGGCGTAAATACTGCCCACATCGCCAGTGAGCAATTCAAATGCTAGTCAGCAATCCTCATTCCAATAGTGCAAGCCAAGAAAATAGGCTTTGATCCTTCTCACTCCTAGTCTATCACTGTGGCAAATCCACTTGAACGTGGATTAAAATGTATATAGATTTTGTCCAGAAGATAACAGTTTTGCTGTCAAGTGTCAACTATGTAGGGCTTATAGAACTGACATTATCGGTTTTGCTGCTAGCCGAAGTGTTATCTGTGTGATATATGCTCAAGTGAATGGTTCTTGAGGAGTCTTGTATTGACCGATGTGATAAGGGTTCTTTTACTACGACAGTTGGAGACTAGTCAAATGCCATATGCCCATGAGTACAACATAATTTTCTACTTTATATCAAGTTATATGCCTTTCTTTGTTTTTTTTTCTTTATCCTTCTGTTTAAAATGTTGATGACTTTATGAGTTTGGCTCACTGCAGCAAGAAAGAATGCAGAAGGAAGAGGAGATCAGAAGAATGAGAGCACAGCTAATCAGAGAAAACAAAGAGCGGGAGTCTCTTGCCTAAGCCGCCAAGAATTGCAATGCATTCAAATCAACAATTTATTTTTGCCGTCTTTTTGAATGTTTCTGGACTTCTGGTTCTATACTGAATTTCCAAAAAATTCATGGAACAATGGTCATGACTGTCTTCAATGTACTCAAAGCTTGGACCTGTCTAGCTGTATGCCGTTCATAGCAGGATTATGCTTGCACTATTAAACCTGTAGCTACTTTTAATCTGACAATAAATACCAAATTTTTTGGTTTAGTTGGAGTAAATTACGGCGAATTGCTATTTATTGGTTACTCTTGCATAAGAAGTGCATCTCATACACTTTGCTTTCACGCCCTCAATTCTTTGATGTTAAACATGGGATAGTTGCATCTTTGTGCCGCTCAAGGCTGTTAGTTTGTGCAGTTCGTGTGTTTGGTTGGTCCTGGAGACAGTTGTTGATTTTGACAAAAGGAACTGCTAATCTTGGTTTTGCACACTGTGAAGTGTGAAGGATTGTAGTATGAAAAAACATTTGCATATTGTCGGTTACATTCAGGAATGCTTCTTATCTTTTTTTTCTTTTTCTTTGTCGTGCTTGCTTTGTTTGTGTCTCTGCTTGGTAACTACAGTGACTGCACTTGTTTTAGGTGAAAGATTTGATTATGAATCTACGAGAGTTCAATTTTTCCATGTATTTTGTGGAATATGGACTGGTAGTTCGTCATGAAGCAGATATTACAAGTTATTTCACTGCCCAAATCTATAAATATTTACCTGTTCCTTTACTGGCAATTCTAACTATAATTACAAGGTCTTCTTTTGGTATTGCTACAACCAGGTACTTTAATCACTAGTTGCCCCCATCTCCCTCCCACCCCCCAATCCCAATCAAAATCAAAATCAAAATATTCCTTACCCAAGTGAGAGAGTTGCATAGCCAGATGACTGACTCTTATTAGTTTGTGATGGAGGCATCGTCAATTAAACCCTGATCTTTCACTTAATCGAAGGAAAATTCGATCTGTGAACAAATGACACGTCTTGTCATTTTGAAAATCTCATGGGACATCCTAAATATAGCTGAAAGTAGGAAAAAGGATTCTTTGCGTCATTTAGGCTTGCAAGAAATCGTGTCCAACAGCCATCTAAATATATGCCAGTCGTCATTCTCTGCAAAACAAACTTAGCAAAAATAACGTGGTGACATTATTAGATAAATCACAGCCTGATATCCTATGCAAGTCTCACTTTATAGAAAAAGTAAAGGAACTTTTCCCCTTATTATCTGTTAAAGACTAACGAATTTCTAACTGATGCAAAATTGTTATCTAGGCTTACTCTATATAAAGAGCATATTAACACAGGTTATTCTCAGATCATAGTTCTAATAATCTTTTTACCTTATATTGAATTCTTCAAATTTCCCTTTTTTCAGTTTTGACAAAAAAAATGGAGTTGGGGAAGATTTTCTTAATTTCTGTTTTGTTGCCTATGGCATTTGGGCTAGTTCAGAGCTTAGAGTTCACCGAAAAAGACATAGCATCTGAAGAGAGCTTATGGGATTTGTACCAGAGATGGAGGAGCCATCACACTGTTTCTCGAGACCTAAGCGAGAAACAAAAACGTTTCAATGTATTCAAGGCGAATGTGATGCATGTTCACAAGGTGAACAAGATGGACAGGCCTTATAAATTGAAACTCAACGAGTTTGCTGCTATGACCAATCATGAATTCAGAAATTTTTACAGCTCTAAGGTAAAACACTTTAGAATGCTCCATGGTAGCCGGCCTACTACTGGATTTATGCACGACAAGGCTGATAATCTGCCAGCATCCATCGATTGGAGAAAGCAAGGCGCTGTCACTGGTGTAAAGAATCAAGGCAAATGCGGTAAGTTGCTGAATTGTGTGATCATAACTATCTCAACCTTTTGTTTTAGTACATGCTAATTTATCCTCGTATATTTGCAGGTAGTTGTTGGGCATTTTCTGCAGTTGTTGGGGTTGAGGGAATAAACAAAATCAAGACTGGCCAATTAGTTTCCCTGTCTGAACAAGAGCTTGTTGATTGTGAAAAGGATAATGAAGGATGCAATGGAGGACTAATGGAAAATGCCTATGAATTCATCAAGAAAAATGGAGGAATAACAACTGAGGGGATCTATCCTTACAGAGCAAGAGACAGTCGCTGTGATTCTTCAAAGGTAGAAACATACATTTAAACAACATACTTGATATATATATGTTAACACCCAGTATCCTAGAACTGTTTTCTTTAACACCTTTTCCATCTCATCTAGATGAATTCCCCGGTGGTTAATATCGATGGACACGAAATGGTACCTACAAACGACGAGGATGCTTTGATGAAAGCTGTTGCCAACCAACCAGTATCTGTTGCTATTGATGCTAGTGGTTCCGATCTGCAGTTTTACTCTGAGGTTTGATATGACTGTTCAACTTGAAGTTCTTACCTTCGAGTTCATTGTATTTTTAAAATTATGTGTGCATAATTTAATATATGTGGAAGTTTTACTAATTTTCCAAATGCATTTATGCACGTGTTGAAAATACTGTGTTCAATTGAACTCGGTAAATAAGGCTACATCGTCACGTGCCACAGCCAGAGCATTTTCTAAACATGACACACAAAACCAGATTCTTTGATGACATACTAATGTCAAATATAACCACATTTTGTAATATGTGACCAAACATTTTCCACATGACATATCCTATAAATCAATCAACTATGCGTCAACCCAACTATCCGGGCTATGTTATACGAATCTTGTATATCGATTCTGCTCTCTTTCGAGTCCATCTGATGATATACCATGTCAAATTTGAGCAGAACTTATAACATGTGAAAATGCAGGGAGTGTTCAATGGAAATTGTGGCACAGAGCTAGACCATGGGGTAGCAGTTGTGGGCTATGGAGCAACTCATGATGGAACAAAGTATTGGATAGTGAAGAACTCATGGGGGACTGGATGGGGAGAACAAGGTTATTTTAGGATGGAACGAGGCATCGATGCTGGAGAAGGACTGTGTGGCATAGCCATGGAAGCTTCATATCCACTCAAATTATCCTCGGACAATCCAAAACCAGCCCCCTCTAAGGATGAACTCTAGATATTGGTTCATGTATCTCTGCTTTAGAATATAGCATGCTATAGTATTTAGAAAGAAAATTAGGAGAGAAAAAAAGCAAGACATATATGTAATCTATCAGTTCTTTTGTATTGGATTGCATGAATAAAATGTTTCCTTCCATGGGGTTGCAAATGTTTGTAAGTTTTAGCCTTTCACTTACTTTCAACTCCATTTTGGAAAAAGAAGCACGACAAAGATTGGCTGGGCAAATTTTGGTAGTGCAATTGGTTGACTATGTGAACTTTCACCTTGTTAATGAGAGTTTAGTTTCTTACCCCTGTAATTTTCTTCCCCATTTTTCCTTCCCCTCCCCGTATGTATGGCATTTAGAGAAATCTAAAAAAGTTTGGCTTGTGAATGGGCCAATTCTATCCCGTCTATTTAGAAACCCAAACCTGAAAATGATACGATCGGGGTTAAACAAAGCAACGGAATATAGAATAACAATAACTGAATGCAAAATTAAAGATAGATCTCGATTAATGTAATGGAAATAAGTCTGAATAATCAAAACAGAGAAGGAAATCTAGAATCTAAATTGAACGTTTCAAGCAACAACCAAAGCTATTCCAATTGACCTCTCAAGAACGACAAAATAGAAACTCTAGATATAAAAAAAAGAGAAGGAAATTACTCTCAAGAACTCAACTTTTTTTAAAAAAAATAGGCGACCCAAAGTTGAACTCCAACCAAAAGGTTCCAAATCTCTATTAAGAGTTTTTTTTTATGTCAATACGCTAATTGACTAATGAAATAACAACTATTATTAGTTACCAAAAAACACAACTATTATAAATACCCAATGCGTAGAATAGGAAAAGTTCCAATGCTAATTTTCCTAAAATAACTCGTCAGCGCACGCTTCTCGCACATAAAAGCCTGGATTGCACACGACTTCACGCAAGGACTCTAGTGGCTCTACCCCTTGTGCACGCTGCGTATACTCAAGTGCTCTTTCTGAATGCTTCGCGCATCTGCTCAACATTCTTCCTTGCTTGTTCTTCGCAATTACCAAACATCTAAACGTGGTATTCTTTTCACAAATCTAACACCTTGTAGTCAATTATTGAAGATCATGTAGCTCCTTAGTGTGCATTTCTTGGATGTTCTTGGACTTGGAAAGAGTCAATGGTCCGCTTGATAATTTGGGGTCATCCTCATTATTCTCCGCCTTTCCCCAGCTATCCAGGATTATATCAGAAAGTAAGTTTGGGCAAGCATAATGAAAGCTTAAATTTAAATCCTACAAGACAATTAAATAGTTAACCAGCAGGATGGTTTTTGAGAAATTGTCACGACCCAAATCCCACATAGTTGTGATGACATTTTACCCAACATGCTAGGTAAGCCAAAAAATAAATAACATAATTTGAATGAAAGATCATCAATAATCAATAATCAATAAATAAAATGGTGAAAGATCTAAATATTGGTAGTACAAGTCATGAGCCACTAAGAATTAAATTTACAACGTTGTTACGAAGAAAATATAATATACGTTTGAATATACATAAATAGAAGTTCAAATCCTAAACTGCCATGAACAAGGTGGTAGCTTGCAGTTAGAACGCGAGTACATCCTCATTGCTAGCCTTCAAAATCCACAACAACGTAGCTCCGAAATCTGCATGCAAAGTGCAGAAGTATAATATAGTGGCAGAGTTTTTAAGTCAAAAGACAACTCACTAATATAACGTGCAATTCGTAAGCTATAGAAATAACATTAGAAAAGACAAGTAATATCGAAAGAGTCAAAAGAGAAATAACGAGCATGAACCAACCCTTTCTCAATAAACATGTACAATATATCCAATCAAATCGTACGACAAAACCCTTCGTGCATTTATCTCATCCTCATCAAGCATAAGTATAACACCACCAAACAAGGTAGAATGCGTATAGCTAATAATAACAATAAGGTGGTAGGCATAGATGTAACAATAGTAAATAAGGTAGAAGGCATGTAGATAATAGTAACAAATAAGGTAGAAGGCATGTAGATGACAGTAGTAAACCAGATAAAAGGAATAGATGTAACAACAACAAATAAGGTGCATGTAATTAACGACAACCAAACTAGATAGAAGGCATATATGTAACACGAACAAACAAGAAAAAGGCAAAGGTGTAACAACAATCAAGCATGGTAGAAGGCATATAAATGCATGTCATGAGGAAAGGATGAACATAATAAAATTCATGTCTCCCGCCCTCGCCTAACGGAGCCACCACTCGTGCCATGAACTCTCATCCTCACTTCTATGAAAACACTCTTCGTGCCATTAGCATATCATCTTCTTCACGGAAACACCCTTCATTTAATAATACTAATAATAATAATAATAATAATAATAATAATAATAATAATAATAATAATAATAGAAATACTCTTCCTGCATAAATCACTCTTCCTCACAAGCACGAAAAAAATCCTTCATGCAATTAACTCTTTATCACTAAGCGCATATATATATATATATATATATATATATATATATATATATATATATATATATATATATATATATATATATATATATATATATATATATATATATATATATATATATATATATATATATATATATATATATATATATATATATATATATATATATATATATATATATATATATATATATATATATATATATATATATATATATATATATATATATATATATATATATATATATATATATATATATATATATATATATATATATATATATATATATATATATATATATATATATATATATATATATATATATATATATATATATATATATATATATATATATATATATATATATATATATATATATATATATATATATATATATATATATATATATATATATATATATATATATATATATATATATATATATATATATATATATATATATATATATATATATATATATATATATATATATATATATATATATATATATATATATATATATATATATATATATATATATATATATATATATATATATATATATATATATATATATAAAATACCAAGCAAGATAGGAAGCATAAAGAAAATCAGGAATAATTAGAATAATACTCCACGCGAGAGATAATCATAACCTTTGCACTAATAGGTGAACCAACATTTCGAGAACCATAATGTTCAAATATCTCAACAAAACTTAAACATGACCTTTAGCATGAATACGGGAACTCAAATATCACAAGAGTAATAGATGTATATAGGTGTCCCTAATATAAAGTATGTCTTCAACTGAATCGAGTATTAACAATCTTAAGAATAATCTATCAAGTTTAATTAAGATATCATAACTAAAACACAATATCTAGCATGGATAGTTATACTCATATATTCATTGAAACAAATGAAACATGAGTCGAGAAGAACACAATGTTCAACAAGGTACATATAGAAGCATATAATCAAACTCGATCATAGATAACCATAACACATACATATACACTCGTCACCTCGCATATACTTCACCTTCGCATGTAGCAAAAAATATCATTTATTAGAAAAAATTCCCTTAAAGTAAAGTTAGGCAAGACACTTACCTAACCCGACTAGTCTTCAACCTCAAATCGGATCAAAATCTCATTCTAGCTTTCCAATCACGTAAATCCAAGACAAACATTATCCAAGGAAGACAATCAATGCTATAGGAAGTGACCCCGATTCATAATCTTCGATCTTTTATGAATTCCCAAAAAGTAAACAAAAGTCAACCCAGCTCCAAGTGTCCAAAATTTGAAACCAATTCCAAATTCGGTTGACCCATACTGAGTCCAAATATATAGTTAATTTCAAAAATTGAGTCCAAATCAGTACTCAAATCTCCAAATATGATCTCCTAAGTTGAGCCAAAAATCCCAAAGTTTATCTCAAAAATTCATATTTTAGGTGTAAAAATCTATGGGGATTCAATATATATAAGCAAATCAAAGTGAAAAATATTTACCTCCAGTACAGTAGTGAAATCCCTCTTTAAAATCTCCTCATCTTGAAGTCTAGGGCTAAAAATATGAAAGAATGAGAAAAATCCCGAAAATAAGCACTTAAATACACTGCCCTGCGATACCCATCGTAATTGTGACAGGCCAAATGTGTTGCCTAGCTCCAGCTCCTCTTCGCAACGTGATGCCTACCATGCAAACATGAAGACCAACACTTCCCAACCTATAAGAATACGAGAATCCCTCTGTGAATGTGAAGGCCAAACCTTCCGCCCGCACGCTTACCACCACATACGAATGCGAAGCACCTGCTCACAATTGTATGCGAATGCGACCCCTTTTTGCAAATGCAAATAACAAAAGCCCCTTAGCCATAAATTACCTTATGCAATCGCGACACTTGCTCCGCGATTGCTACAAAAAACTAGCACCAGCAAAATCTGCAGCTCCAAACTTCACCTAAAATGAAAATGGACCTAAAATATCCATCTACTATGAAAAAAGGATCATTTATACCGTTCGTTATACTATTCATCTACCATTATTTTCAACGTTATAGAATTGGATCAATAATACCCCTCCACTGTTAGGAACCTCCACCATGGACAATCCATCCTACGTAGTCTGATATTTTGGTGAGGTGGATGCCATATTGCATGCAACCTTACTATTTCAACCCTATTTTATGGAATCTCCCATTTCTTCTTCCAATACCACCTCCTCATTCACCTAACCACCACCACAATCTTTATCAACCATGACATTCTCTTTAAACCCACAATCATCATCACCATGTCAAAATTAATTGGCGTGGATATTTTGACAAACAGTTGGGGGTCACTATAACGATCCGACCGGTCGTTTTGAGTATTTGCACTTCGCTCGCCAGTTTTCGAACATGAGTAGTCCCGTGTAATGTATTATGACTTATGTAAATCGTCGGTTTTGGTTTTCATGGTAATCAGAATGGATTTGGAAGAACAATTCTCAGTTTGAAGCTTAAAAATTTGAAAGGTTTGATCAAGTTTTGACTTTTTAGTATTCGATCTAGGATTTGGGTTTTTATGATTTGGTTAGCTCCATTAGGTTATTTTGGACTTGGGAGCGCGTCTGAAATGTATTTTGGAAGTCCGTGGTAGATTTAGGCTTGAATTGGCAAAATTGAAAATTTGGCATTT